CACCAGCCACTTGATGACCCCTTGACACTTGCTAACGAGGAACTGGAGATGGCTGATCATTTCACTTATCTTGGCAGCTGCATCAGCAATGATGGGCGCATAGAAACTGACGTGAGCTCACGCATTGCAAAGGCCAGAGGTGTCTACTTGTACCTGTGTCATCTTTGGCGACAGAAGGGAGTTTCCCTCCGTCTGAAAGGCCGTGTATACAAGGCCACAGTGAGGGCCGTTCTGCTCTATGGTAGTGAGACTTGGTCCCTTCGGTCTGAAGATCTGAGGCGCCTTCAAGTCTTTGATCATCGTTGTCTGCGAAGCATTGCTGGTGTCGGATGGCACCAGCGTGTCCGCAACGATGAGGTGCGTAGGCGAGTACTAGGTGGTGATAATCATGCTAGCACCCTGGAACAACAGATAGCACTGAATAAGTTGCGTTGGGTCGGGCACGTGTTACGCATGCCTGGTCACCGCTTACCTAGGAGGGCCTTGTTCAGTCTACCAGGTGTAGGATGGCGCAAGGCTCGAGGTAGACAGAAGTTGACTTGGCAGCGGGAAATGAAGTCACTGACGACCAAATTGGGTGCCGTTGGTCCGTCTCGCCTTCCGGGTTGGAGTCCACGTGACTCATCTTGTGCTTGGCTCGAGACTTTGCAGGACATGGCTCGCAACCGACACCAGTGGCGCGTCTGCTGTCGTCTCCTAATCGGATTGCCTGTTTAAAGTATGTTTTGTGCTGAGTTATCTGCGGGGTAATGGCTGATTATGACGCGTGGCAGTGAAAGCCGCAAGGAAGCTGTCTCGCAGATGCCGCCTTACCTTTGCACGGTAACCAGCTGTTTGTGACGGTATGTTGTCAACACAAGATGTAGGCGCCTTGACCCAGAATGTTTGCTTAGGGCATTAAGGTTTTCAGGTAAGTCCCCCTTCTCTTCCTCTTCTTATTCTTTATTTCATTTGTCCTCATGGTTGTATGGCAGCGAAGCATCAGTTCAAATGGCTGATGTACTGCTGTTGATGATGATGGTGATGATGATTTGACACTGTTCCGCACTCGCTTTTGTACAAGTTGCAGAGCTGTGGGATCTCGGGGCCAATCTTGAAATGGATTCCGGATTTTTTAACCGGAAGGGAGATGTGTGTTCTTGTAGGCTCCAGCCTCCTCCTCCTCACCCTCCTCGGTAAGCGGTGACCGGGCATAATAGTACGTGCCCAGGCCACTTCAACTTACTCAATGTAACCTGTTTTTCTAAGGAGATAACTTGGTTATCATTGCGTAACACTCGCCTGCGCACATCATCGTTGTGGACACGCTGGTTCCATCCGACACCAACAATGCTGAGCAGACAGCGATGATCAAAGACTTGAAGGAGTCTCAGATTTTCAGACCGAAGGGGCCAAGTCTTCTTCCCACAGAGTAAGACGGCCCTCATTATGACCTTGTAAACATGGTCTTTCAAACGGAGGATAACCCCTTTCTGTCGCCAGAAATGTTACAGATTCAAAAAGGCGGTTCTGGATTTTGCAATACTTGCGTTGATTTCAGAGGTTATGCGCCCATCGTTGCTGATGAAGCTGCCAGGGCAAGTGAATTGATCAACTACCTGGAGTTCCTCGCTATCTAGGATCAAGGTGATCCTGCACTTTAAAGATGCGAAGCGCATACCAAATAATGGGACCACTCTAGTGTGGCTATTCAGGGTTGACTGCGCCCCCGCAACATCATCAAAAAACAAGACGATATCGTCCGCATAATCAAGATCAACTAGCCTTTCACCAGGCAGCACTTCAACGCCTACATCTTGAGATTCCACAAGGGAACACTCCCTGATAGAGTCCACAACGAAATTGAACAAAAACAGAGAAATCAGACAACTGACATGCACCACTTGTGGTCTGAAGACTCTCCGATAAGTCACCAGAGATCCTGACGCGACCTGTAATGTTCGAGTACAGAGCATGTAAAATGTTCACATATTTCATGGGAACAGCTTTCCGCACAAGTATTTCGAACAGAATTGATCGATCAACTGAATCAAACGCACTCAGAAAATCGAGGAACACAGCTATTGTCGGCCTGCGGTATGCGTGGCGCTGCTGTAGCACCTGCCGCAGCGTGAATATGTGGTCTTTACAGTCATGTCCAGGGCGGAAGCCTGCTTGCTCTTCCCTACCTCTGGATTCTCGTTCCACAGTGAGGCGACGAACGAGAATTGGGGCCAGTAATTTTGTCACAACTGGTCTTAGGCTAATACTTCTGTGGTTGGCACAGCCGGTGCGGCTGCCCTTCTTGTATATTGCCACTATAATCGATTCACTCTAGTTAACCTGGACGGTCTTTTCCCACTATTGTTCGAAGGGAGTAGTCATTGATTACAGATGACCTGACCACCACCCTTAACTAGTGCGGGTGGTAGGGAATCCGGGCCAGCAGCGCAAAAATGATTGAAGGCTGTGATCGCGTTTCGGACCTCAGCCTCTGATGAAGCCTAAACTAACCGTCCATGGCTCATCCTGCATCACCTGAGTAGGAAGAGGTCCGGAAGCAAGAAGCCAACTGAACTGACCTCGAAAATGTTCCGCCTAACGATCCTTACGGCCGCTCCTTATTGTGTATCAGTCTCCTAGCGCTCTCTCTCTCTCTGATAGTCTCATTGACGCCTGGTTTCCTGGGCCCACTGATGCAGATCAGCTGGAAGAGCTTGCGGTAATTGCCTACTGCTCCTGCCTCCTCCAGTTATTGAGTCCGACTGGTCCACCAGGCTTCCTTATCAGCACGCAGCCTCCATTTTAGTTCGCGCGTAATAATCCCCCTGGTCACAATGTGCTCAGAGCCAGCCGGTAGTTTTGGATTCCAACGGGTTCACCGACTTCTCAGATATTCACTGACTGGTGCGGTGACGATCCATAGTACCACAAGCAAATACTCCTGCGTCGTGCATGGAGACCGAAAGCCTATTCCACTGCAACTCCAGTCACTTCAGGATAAGGGAGGGAAAGTTCGGTACACATCTTGGTAATTTAGGATAATTTCTTGGTTAACAATCGAGGGAGACGCTTGATATGCCTCCCGGTAAATTTCATGGGAATGTGACAGCGCATGATCGGAGTCGATGCAAGTACTCCAGAACAAGCGGCAATACCTTCATGTAACCACGCCACTTGTAACTTATGGCATTGTGATCTATCTGGGACCGTCGCTGATCAGCTATAGGTGAACGCCAGGCTGCACTTTGGCGCCCACTGTGTCTAAAAGCAATGCTACTAGAAAACAACAAATGCTCAGCGCACGGTTGCAACGGACGCTCGCTGTTGTCAACCCGCTCGGAGTTAAACTCATACTCACCGCCTAGCTGAGCTTCTGAAGGGTCCAGGCGACCTACTCGTGCATTCATATCCTCTGCAAGGTCTGTGTTATCTGAACTGATAGCATTGCGTAGTAGCGTGTTTAGTTCGTTGTAGAACGTATCCTTGGCAGCATCAGAACTGCGTTTGCTGAGGGCATAAGCGGCAACAAAAACAAACAGCTTCTTGCACTACTTCGTGAATTAGGTGTAGCTGATATCGTCAAACGGGCTGCACACAAACCGCTGTTCACCGAAATTCAGTTAACCAAAGATGAATCAGTCTTGGAGCTGAGAACGATGTCTACTCCAGCTTGTCTATTGGTTGCCGCGACAGCTTCGCTGGATGCGTGCAAGGAATAGCGAGAGGACAAGCCGAGCGCAGTTAATTCAACTACCCAAGTACGGGTCATAGATTTTAGTTTCGGACACACAACACCTCTATACCCAGTGCGTGCGTGCGTGCGAGTGCAGCCTGCTGACCTATTTGTCCTACAGTGCGAACGTGGGACGCCGCCAGATAAACGGGACAGCATAGCCTTAGAAGAGACTGATGCCACTAAGTGTCCAGTGGGTGGTGCGCAAAAGTAGCTGCAGATGATAGGACTGCAGTGGCATTGCGATTGCTGTCAGTTAAGCTGGGAATTATACAAGGAAAGTTAGTAATGGGAGAAACCTGTGGAAAAGAAAAAAGAGGGGCGCCAGAAGTACTATTTTTCGCTTATCTGCCCTGCTGTTTGCAGATGATAAGGCTACCCTTCGTAAGCTACGCGACGGTCGATGCAGGATGTAATTGAATTTTGAGAAAATAGCCTTGGTTGTATGTGGGCGAGTAGGATTCTCAAGCAAAATCTTTGGCTCAAAAGCCTATCCGCAAGACTGTGGGAGGCGGCAATGATTTAGTTTTACAGAAATGGACGCCATCCCATTTCCAACCCCCAAGCTGGTGGACCAGAAGACTGAGTTTAACCACTAACCATTGACGAACCTGGTAGGAGTAACCATCAAAGGGCCCCGGCGCACCACCCAGTATAGCTTAATGGATCAAATTAGTACACAAATCATCGCACTACGTTATGGTCCAGTCGCGTTGTATGTCCTTTTTTCTCCTTCCTACGCTGCTTTTGAGGAAAAATGCTCAGGAACAGCACGCACAAGAGTTTGCTATTTGCAGGCCAGGAATTGAAATGGTGCTCCGAGGACGTAATGAGTCATGCATTAATATAAGCAGCATAGGACCTTATTGGAGGCCGCATAGGAAGTTGGCCGCGAACACTGCTTTAAAGCTGATGTTGCGGCAGTAGCTCAAATTGATATCCGGATTTATCGATGAACTGTCCTCCCCTTCCATTCAGTTAGGTTCCCAGCCAGTGGACCGTATTATTGGTAGCATTTGGGAGTTTGTGTGCGATTCCAACACCCCGTAGCCTTTGGTTATTGGTATAAGCTGCACGAAGTGCTGTTCATCAACCTGGCTAAGTAGGGTGATGATCGGATGATCCATCTGCTTCTCCAGATATCGCACATGAAATTTTGCTCATCCTACGGTTCCATACGTCTTTCCCTCTTTTGAACCCTCCTTTACCCCTCCATCCTACATTTAGTATTAATCGACCTTGTTCATGGTAGTTAAATCGATTGTTCCGCTTTCCCTTGTCCATAGTTGATTAGCCCAACCCACATACTTTACTCCTTACCTTGGCCGTCACTTGGAGGAAAGGACAAGGCGTCTGCCTTGCAAGCCGGAGATCGCGTGTCCGGATTTGCCTAGGGGATCGGGCGACCCTCGCATTATCCTTAGCCTAAGCGCAGCGGGTAGTGGTTGCGAGGCAGCGAAGCGCCGGTACGGCGTACCGACATTTGTTGTTGTACGGTCATTGTCCTCACTCAATTCTCTTTGCACTCTGTCACTTAGATGCTTAGATTGTATCTTCGGAACTACTATGGTGCACTTTATCACATCTACTTTTTCTAAAATGCCAACATTGCATGGTGAGTTTGGTTCTTATCTTAGTTCACACTACTTTACTTGCAGGTGCTGCCTACCGTTTCCTCTCAAGAATTTTATGTTCATTCTAGCTGAGTTAAGGGATGTTGTCGTCATCCAACCGAAGTTTTTCGGCTCCGATTTTCTGGAGGTAATCGAATATGAGTTGAATTCACGTTTTGCTAATAAGGTAGGTGGCATTTGTGTTCTCTGTTCTGTTTGTACAAATAATGCCTGTACTCGGTTGTTAATTCCGAGTCATGGTTTGTATTAATTATCGGATCGCCGCTAGATGGTTCCATTTTTGAAAAACTCCATGTCAAGATCAGAAGTCAGGGCAAGCGTACATGTGTTTTCGCTAATGCATCATCAAGCTTCTACAATTATGTACAAAATGGATAGAAAGATGTTGCCAATCGATACTCCTGGACTAAGTTAAATACTGATCGAAGATTTGACAGTGACTGTCCGTTAGGTTACGGCAACTGACCTCGCGGGTCAGATATCATCAGGCGCTTGTGCCAATGTATTCCCAACCCTCTAGTTAGCTTCTTCTGAACACAGCTCCAGCTCAAAGTCGAATCACAATTGCCACGACAGATACTATTATTCGTTTACACACGTATTTCCAAATGCTATGGACATAGCATCTAGTGAGAGGTAGCCATGACCTCGGAGGCTAGGCACTGTCATATGCACTGGTAGAAACCTGCATGACTGGAAGATAAGTCGTGCTGTATCCCAGTTAGCTTACAAAGTATCTAGCCCAAACGCCGTCCCTCATGACTCAGTGGTTTTGGCTGCTAGCTAATTGGCGCCAGCCTCTAGCTCTCATAGCTTCGATCCCCAGTAGGGAACCGAAGAATGCGCACGACTGACGAGCCTCAATAGAGCGAAACGCGCGTCAGGTGCTTTACCGGATGTGGGTTGTACTATGTAGCTTGTGAGTAGCTGGGACGAATACATTAAAATTTTGAAAGTGGTGCGCCAGTGTTGGAATGAGCAACACCCAAATATTTTCCCTTCAATTACGGTCCTTGTGTTCGGAATGACCGAGGTCCACCTCAAATGAATCGAGGTCTCAATAGAGGTTGCTTGTAGCAACCCAACCACCAGCGGATTCTCCAAGTCCAACTTTAAAGAGTCAGCTAATTTAGTGGCATGCCCTGTGTCAGGGTGGTGCGCGCCTATTGAGGACTTGACTGCTTTTCTACTTCCAGTTCCGAGCCAGCTCGGGTGGTGATCCTTCACTCGCTCGGATAGACGCTTTATCGTGCGACCTGCTCCACAGGAGCCGGAAAATAAATAAATCACGTTGAATTGGCATGGACGGGCCTCTTATCCCTTGTGTTTAGTGCTACCATCGGCGTGTCAATGAACCGAATTTGCATTCTCGCTGATTGGTAGGTGCGTCTGAGTGCTAGCGAAAGACGAAATAAGAGTTCCGTCGTAACTTCACCCTTGTATGACAGCGGAGGAAAGATTGGCTTGTGTTCTGCTGTCAACACCGCTGCACCAGTGCCCTCGTCCCCGTCCGAACTCTTCGGTTGGGCTTCATCAGAGCTCGGGATCGTCAGAAACATTTGCCATCAAACTGTTTAGCTTTACGAGCCCCATTTGTCACATAGGGTAAATATTCAGTTCCGAATTTCGGATATCTGTTGGCATCGTTCCCCCTTGTGGACGCTGCATCAACCCCTAATCTTCTTGGTGGAAATCTGATGCTTTAGAAGGTGTGGCCATCTCCTTTTGTTCGACTTATCTACCGGTATGCAAAGTCGCTTGTGTTAACGCTGTTTCATTGATTTGAATTAACTATTTTATTGGGATTCACACATACAGTCGCTTGTGGTCACGTGGTAGCGCGACTTCTGTACAATGAACTAGTGCGCTGTTGTTTTGTCATGTATTACTTTCTCCTCGTTAAATTCCGAATGGCTGATATTAGTGTCTCAGCTGGATACTCTCGAACCAACTCCGTACCTACATTTGGCAAAGTACGACTTGATCTCTTGTTGTGCGACCACCTTGGACAAAGCGCAGAAGATCAAACGGGTCCAACACATCGCTACCAGGTTCATTCCCAGTTTACAGGGTTTACCGCACAAAGACAGATTAGGGCTACATACCCTATTGTCGTTTTCCAGTCAACTTCATCATTGCCTACCGTATTCTACTTCTCAATGACTTCCTCATGCTGAGGCCGCTGCTCTAGTTGCGAACAGCCTACGTCATCCGCGGATACCGGTATAAGCTTGTGGTGCGGGATCTGAAGCGAGTCCCCAACCTGTTCCTCAGACGGCGAGTGATCAGTGTTTTAACCAGTCTGCCGGTGCACACAGCGGAAGCGAATTCGGTACAGCAGTTCAACACTTTGTCGCGTTTGCATTTTCCACTGTTTGATTTCGGACTCGATTACCCAGGGGCAATAACATTTCACATTTGTGAATCCCAAGTTACTGTGAGTTATATGGTTCGCGATATCATGTGAGAACTCGATAAAAGATCTGAGTAGTGACAGCTCACAGTTTATATATATTTTTCAACGATGGGGTTCAAGTCAAGCTATGCTTTAAAAACCCGTGTGGGAGCATTTTTACCAATTTAAACTTCACTCGCTTCCTTAATACTGCATTCAGATAGTCAGGTTTGTATGATTAATAACGACTCTGTCCTCTCTTCTTCTGGTGGAGAAACTGTCATTTGGCTGACTGACAGACTTGGAGTGCACAGAAAATATGATTCCCCTGAGACTAGACCTAATCCTTGTAGTAGTTCCCACAAATCATCGAGCACACGCCGATGTAGGCCTTAGTGTGCTCTTCACACTTCCTTACGCCATTCAGTACTGGAAAAGTGGATCGACACACCATCAGCATTCCACTTTTTTCTGCAGTTCCATGTGATCAAATCGCAGGTGGCCACTATGTGGTTTGGCAAGGCTCGCATAGCTTTTCACTACCACTTTGCCCTATAGTTACGACTGGTTATCGATTCATCAGCTAGGTATTGAAGGAATGACACGGCAGTGCAATCCGTGTTCCTTTGATCATCAGAGAATCGATTACTGTCTCTTGAATATATTTGGAGCTTAGCCTTCTTTGGTCACTGGTGCTCGCTATTGTCGTTCACATTTGGTGCTCCCGCCTGATAGGCAGTGCTGAAGCGCGCCGGTTTTTATTCATAGGCAAACCCATTTGTGCTCTGTCAAGTTAACTGCTTGGCTCCAACTTTCCTGCATTAGTTAGTCATGTACTTCATATGTCTGCCGACCGCCTATTTGGCTGCAAATTGTTCACTGTTTAATTAATGTGCTGAATGATGGCCTGACACGAAGACATGAGGGATTTTGGAAATCCGTGAGTACCGTCCTCCCAGATAGGGCGCCACATCAACGACTAGAAGGCTTAGCGGTTATTGTGCGGTCGCAAGGTTTATGCTGCTTTTCTGTTTTGCTTAGAAATGCTGCTTTTTCGATACAAGCCTTGTCACTGATTGTCGTGCTTTTCCTTCTCCCTGATATTCATTGACTACTCATACCATGGCGACGCAAGTCAAAGCGATTCTCTCGTGATTTTTTAATTGATCCACCAGAACTGAAACACTAACACAGCTACGACTCGTCCGTTTTGCCGTTGTTATTTGCTTATCGGCGGTTATAGTTCAACCCTACTCAACTTCCCAGCATTGTCACTTGGCCATTTGGGGTGTTGTGAGGAACGCAGGCAGTGACTCGATGTTCATTGCTACTTCCGTGTAAATGTTGGTGACCCTTGCAATATCTTTAGCCCGTACGACTGATGGTGTCCGCTTTGAAGCGAAGCGTCAGCGCTACGCATCGACGTACTGCTGATGCCTTAGGTTGCCTTTACCTCCGTCTATCTTTATCTATTCGGTCTAGGGCTTTAACTGGTTCACAGTATCGGAGTTGTTGTGTCAGTCTATGTTGTTTTAAGCTTACCACAAAACCGCGTTTTCTCTTCTCTTTGTGAGGTGCGTGAAGGATTATCTAACCTTCCCTCCGTGTACGGTGCATTTCATCACATAACCTCCAGTTGTTAGCACTTAAATAAATGTGTTTCGAATTGGTAGTCACCTGATTTTTGTTGCGAGTTCATTAAGCCGCTGATCCTGCGTACTTGCTACTCTGGGGCCATACAATGTACTGAGGTTGCCATACTGTCACACTGCATTACTTGTCTGCCAATGCTGATAAATCTCGATGTTTTAACGGTGAATTCTGATATTGCGCAAGCCACTTACTATCTGCATTCTATTCCTCGTTCTTATCATTCGCCTGACTCACCCCCAGTTGCCGTGCTACTCCACCAGCAGCTTCCTTCACACACCTCTTTGTCCCTCGTGCTATTTTCTTTAGCTGTCGGTCGCTTGTCCTCACTACCACTTCTATATATACCAACTCGTCGATAGCATCCATGCGTATCTCTTACCAGCATTCGCATTCACCTTTCAGTTGGTTTACAAGGTCGGTCTGTGCATTTCGCTATGGGACGTGCTGGAGGTACGAGAAAGCTTCATCTCTGATGTCGATGGCGCGTACCACACTTCCGGTGAGATTACCAACACGTTTTAAGTGAGCTGCTATTTTTAGTTGTGTTTAGGGTTGCCTGTTTCCGACCAGCTATCGATGAGGTGTTGCTGGGTACAGTCAAATCCTGTTCCAAGACCGGCATCCGAGTTTCGCTGAATTTTTTTGACGACATTTTCATCCCAACCGAAAAGTTGCGTCACCCTTCGCGATTGTGAGTTGCTTAATCTTTGATCATATTATGCAGTGATTACGAACAGGGTTGTTGGATATGGGAATATGATTACGAAGGCGAGACCGCCGAGTTACGGATCGATAAGCACGATACGATTCGGTAAGTACAACTTATCTTAAACCTACCCCTTGGTGCAGTTAACTACAATGTCTCAGGTGTCTTGTGGTGCCAGTTAGAAGAATGGTATCTGGCTAGGCTTGCCGCATGTGTTGGCAGTTTAGGCTTCGCATATGGGGAGTGCACTTTAAACATATATGACAATCGGTGAGTACTGGCTTCGTGGACTTTAAAGTTAGTTTCCACGTTGCGGTGGATGAGGCTACGTTCACAGCCGCAAAAGGCGACTAGATTTCGTGATACTTGAGCTTACTTCAGCTATCGCGCGTCCATCCAAGTGCCTGTTCCTTCTCATCTAGAGTCGATATGTCATAAAGTGGCTGGTCGTCCTGCAACAACAGTTTACAGCTGCTTAACGCATGACATATAATGGGTTTACTCCATAGAGTGTTTTTTCCATGGCTGTCAAACAGCAGGACTGTGTTGCCCTTATTATCAAAATCAAATAGTTTTCCACCAGGTAGCACCTCATCGCCTGCATTGTGAAATTCCACAAGGGAGCATTCCATGATAAAGTCCACGACGAAGTTGAATAAAATTAGGGAGATGACCCCGACGAACGTCACTTCTTGTCGGAAAGACCGACAAATCACCGTAAACACTGACGCCGCTTGCAGTGCACCTAAAACCTCGATATACACCATTGTCGGTCTACGATAGTGTGACGTTGCTTTAGCACCTACCCCATTTTGGGCGGAAACCTTCATATTTTTCTTTAATCCCGAATTCCCGTTCCGCAGTGAGACGACGAACGAGAATTGAAGCCGGACGCTTCGTCACTACCAGTGTCAGGCTGATAATACTGTGGGTAGCACCGTCCTTGTGCCTGACCTATGTTTCCTGTATGATTGATTCACTCTTCCTCCAAAAGCTTTTCGCTGAGGGGGTCATTGCTTTGCAAAGAACATCATCACCCTACTTGAATAATGCGGGTGAAAGGAAATTCCGACCAAGAGCTTGAAAACGATTAAGGGCAGTGATGGCGTTTCGGACCCAGTGACAATTTCCCGTTGCCCAGTGGCATAAACTGATGACTGGCGGTGCAAGCCGCTGGTGGTCGTGGTTTGGAATCCTGATGGATCCAATGGATGCGCATTACTGATGCCGGTCCGTATCCTTAAGGATCGCAAACCTGCCTTGTTATCTGACGGCTCGGGTTCGAGCCTACGTAATGACCGGGTGACCCTCCCAGTATCTTTAGCCCACGTGCTACTGGTGGTGGTTGCGCGGCAGAGAAGCCTAAATTAATCGCCCATGACTCAGGCTGCACCATCAGAGTGGGAAGAGGTCGGGAATACTGAGCCAATTGAACCGCTGTCGAAAGTGCTCCGATCATGGAGTCAGCCGGCGCTCCTTATTGTCAATCAAGGCGCCTGTTTTTGCCGACCCGAGGCCTTAAGGGTCACCGATTCGAGTCTGTGTAAGGACTAGGAGACCCTCGTAGTATCCCAGCCCACGCGCAACTGGTGGTGTTTGCGCGACAGCGAAACGTCGGTATTGTGTACAGACCTACTGCTGCTGCGATTCCCGTGATTGTTTCCTAAACACTTGATGTACTGTGACGAGTGGTGCTGATCAGTTGAAGCAGCTTGCGATAATTACCTCCCGCACCATACTCCGTTTCCTAAATTCTTTGGGTTCAAATGATTCATCATTCTCGTTTCATTCATGAAAAGATAGTCTAACAAACAAGCTCCTTTTCGGGGATTCACCATCATGCCAAATACAACGACTAGTTAAGATAAGATATGGTGACTTACGTGACTTGAACATGAAGGTGCAAAAATGCTCAGATGAGTACTATTTGTTCACGCGAAAGTTCAGTTGAGTTTACTTCTTTACTCAGAAGCTGCTCGGAATACATTCGACCACGATAAAACCGAAGCTTTGACAACATGTTTTTGCACACACAACGGGAGGTTGTGGAAACGAATCGCTATCCGGTATCTGATATATTTGGCATGGACACCCCTCACACGGTAGATCGGGCGAAAGGCACCATAGGAATAACGACAGGATGATTCGTTTGGACTAGGTGTATGACTATTGCGGTGGTGAACGCTTTGTTCAATCCCCGACTTGGCCACGCGAATGCGTTCAGACAAACGTCTCGTGGTGCGATCTATGTAAATTGTCCCACAGGAACAGGTAACTTGGTACACACAGGATGAGTGGACAGCCACAGACAGTTTATCCTACAGCTGGAGGTGTAGCATAGGTGTGGAAGTGAAGATAATACGTAATTGTGTGGCCTCATAGGAAAGAAACCCGTCTGTTTATCCTTGCTATTCAAAAGAAACAACAGTTTCGAACACCTTAGCAACCGATTACAAGTGGCGATCACCAACACTAGAGAGGCCGCTCCACCGTCTTACCTATAACGTCCGTGACCTGTCAAAATGACCACTACTGTATTTGTTCATCCCAACTTATTCCTGACCTTTTAACTACATATATAGCACAAGGCGTAACTGAAAAAGAGATGTATTTAACCTTAACTTTTTCAAGATCTTGAAAATAATCGTACTTACTTGCTCAGATTTACACCTGAAATGCGTGATGATTATCAGTTTGTCCACATGAGCCACAAATTATTTTTTCGCAAGCACAGCACTTGTTCTTTGGATTGTTATCTTTACGATAATCAGTCTTACACTTGTCTCACGATTCTCCGACAGGGCTGTGTTCAGCATATGTACAGTTGACACCTTTCTTATCTGATGCTTGGGTCCACACAGTGCTTCCGCAAGACCCTTCAGATATGACTGGAGGGATAATTTATTTCCAAAGAATATATTATAATTTATCCAGGAATCAATCCCCGCCAAATCCAGCACGTTGAAGATTACTTATAAATAAATAAATTTTTCTTCGCAACGGTGCGAGGCACGACTGCATTGGTGTGATCATGTTGATACTAATATGATGTTGATAAGTCTATATATATATATATATATATATATATATATATATATATATATATCCTCAACACTTGCCCAATATACAATTGGTGGAGTGCCGCAACACATGGGTAACTACAATATAAGGAGGGAATCTCAGATAGTCCGTGGAATGGTTATGTGTTTTGTGACCGGGCAGCTTCCCGGTTGCCCAGGCCAAGGAAGAGGGTTAACATAGGAAACCCTATCGCGAGCCTTTAGTCACAAGGCCTGACCTGCAAGGCAGCGGGGCCATTTACAGAAGTTGCCGAATGCGAAGACCGTTGACTGCCAGGTGGCTCATTCGCTTTCTTTGTGTTCGGTAACAATCCACACAGAAGCCGGTGGCTAACACGATTGTTCACCCGCCCTCCATTGTGCACTTCTGTGACCAGAAGTGTGGGTTTGTTGACCCTATAGCAGGTCATATTGGCTTTGACACAGCTTCGTAAGAGCTCACGTGGTATTTGATGGAGAGCTAGGTGACTAGCTCAGAACTCTCCACACTGGGACGCTGCCGCTCATTGTCCGCGACTGCTTCTTCATTTCGCTTACTAAGCAAATGCGACTTATTCGCACTTACCTCCACTACGAAAGAATTCCCCCATCCACAATTGGGGACCCACCCGATCGCATACAGCTCCGCCATGACGGATGCTAAGTGGCAGATCGACGCCCACTAGCTGAAAGCGATGCTGATAAGAAACAACTGGCGCTTGGCGCGCAGTTACAATAAACGCTCGTCTGTGTCCCTGCGTTCGCAAATAGACCCAAACGTTCACGTACCTGAGTTTCTGAAGAGTTCGGTCGGTTTGCCTTTGTATTCATATCCACCGAGACTAGTAAATGCGTAGTTGCGTGTTGAATTCATTTTAAAAAGCGCCTCTGTTAACATCATAATGCTAGCGTAGGCTGCGACGCCGGATCAACAGCAACTGACCCTGCTCCGGGTTTGCTCTCCGGACAACCTCATCATGGGACCATTCTGCTTCGCAGACTATCTTCTATTGGTGTATCATCCTGCCGTGAAGAACAAGCTGGTTTCTGATATAAAAGTGTTAGTAACCCATGTAGTTCCTTTGTTTGATGAACTGATCTCTGAGCTTGACGATTATTTTGCAAACCTTTCTTCACCAGTCGAGGCGACGTAAGTGTGTAGTGTGGTGTATTATGGCGATGCGTTGCTGTACGCTTCGTTGCACTGCCGATTGACCTGCTTTATGGCGTTGTTTGCTAAAATACGCGTTCCAGAGAAGTATGATTTGGTTACGTTCTGCGCATGGTGCCTGAGTATTTACGACGCGCGCCTTATTCGCCAGGGCAAGATTGGACTAGGGGCGACTGCATGATAGTCAATCTTCCACTTGGAGACTGTACATGTATCGGGTTACTTGTGTAATACCTCATATATTGAAAATGACGAAAAAAGCCTTTGAAAAACTATTGTTTCGTTTTTTCACTTAAATTGCTTCCTTTTGATTTCTCTGGTTTTTTTGATGCCTCCATTTCTAATACTAAGACATGTATAGCTGTTTTTTGTGCTAACCTTGGTTGATGTTAGCTAACATGCAGCACACGGACAGTTGATCCATCACAATAGCTGCGAGCAGTCTTCACTCCAGCTTCTTTTGTAGTTTCAGCATCGACCTCTTCCGAAGCTTGTGGCCAGTAGCGAGAGGACAAGCCGGGCGCAGTTACTTTAACAACCGCCTAATGGTCATTGACCCTTAGAAGGACTGTTGACGATAGAAGTCCGGTGGCTAATCCTCAAAGATTGTTGCATATGGCTGAACTCCTGTGGCATTGCAGTTGTTGATAGCTGTGCTGAAACCTATAGAGAGCATGTTACCTGTGGGGGTCTAAAAAAGGTATGGTAGAAATAGAGAGATATAACGTGATAACAGCATTAGCATGTTTTCGCTTATCCGCTCAGGTATGTTCAGCAGCTAAGGGGACACTTTCAAAGCTGCACAACGGCAAATGCAGGATGTGATTGAAGTTGATGATAAATTTATGTATTTATGGTTGGAATACTGACAGGCCGTCCAAACCTATGCAGGAGAACGAGTAAAGTCATTGATTAGAGCCTTTGACTCAAAAGCCACTCCGGAAATCATCGAAGAAATGGCAACGATCCGGTTATACAAAACTGGACGCCATCCTATTTCCAACCGCAACCTTGGAGACTGAGTTCGTTTGACCTCTGATCATTGGGCGAAGGCGCCACCCTGTATAGTCCAGCGAGTCTAAGAGGCACATGACCACTCGCAACACTTGAAGGTTATAGTAAAAAGTGGTATCAATAGTACCCCGGTACGCGGTACCAATGCTTCGCTGCTACGCAACCACCAGCAGTCGCGCTTGTGCTATGGATACTGCGAGTCCCGCCCAGTCCCCTATGCAGGCTCGCGCTCGCACCCTTGGATTGCATGACAGGCTTGTGATGCATTGGGCAACGGGCTGGCATGATATATCCAGTGTAGTTGTGACAGAACGCACATTTCTCATCCTATTTCCCACCTGACCACGTGATAACTGCATCCTCCTTTTTTCTGGATCCAGCTTCCGAGTGGTAGAAGAAATTTGGCGGGACCCAAATCCAGCTGGAACGAAGCAGTGCATCGGTTCAACGCAAGACATTCCAGACTCAGTCGATGCACTTGGTGATGATCAACTCTGTCAAAATGCTCCATACACCTTAATCGTATGTTTGGTGACGTTACCCTCGCAACTTTTTGTTTCTCTGTCATATGTATGTACGTGTAACCTTTGATTAGGTAGATAAATTCGCGGAATTAAGGTATCGTGTTTTACACTGATTGGCTTCTTTCGCTTAATTTTTCAGCACTTTTCATGTTGCTATTATGCGAGCAACACAATTGCTTGCGGTATCCCGCTCTAGGATCGCTTATTTTATTACGTTTACATGTGAACTTAATCGACCTTAGTTCATGTGTAACTTATTAGATGAGATGCATGATTATTCAGGACTGAATGCTGCGTTAGAAGACCACAAGTACCCTATACCCCTTCTGGAGACCTTTATGCACGCCTGAACGGTGGCAGATGTTTTGCCAAACTGGATTTGTCTGACGCATATCTCTAGGTAGGAATGTCGGAGGAATCGCGTGAGTTTCTAACCATAAACAGAAGACTATTCCAGTTTACACTCCTGCCATTTGGTACCAAGTCGGCCCCGGCAATCTTTCAGCAAATCAAGGATATGATGCCACAAGAAATATCATATGCCGCTGTCCACTTAAACAATGCTGATACTTGGCTTCCTTTCCTTTTCGGATTCTGATCTTTTTCTTGACTCATGCTGTTATGTCTCTTACCTTTCTGTAGTGAAACGTTCATTTGTTTAACTCCTCCCCTAGTTTCACCGCCTCAGTGATGGACCAGTTTAGTTACCTTGTCTACCTCACCGAATCGTTCACAATTGTCTGTCGTGCCGTAGTTGAATCGGAAGGTTGCATGAAGGCGTCGAAAAACTGCGTTTGCTAGGCTCATCTCACAGCTCACAATTTTGCCTATCACAACCGTTTACGTTTTGTTGTTTTTCTGCTTCTTTGCATTATGGTATTTTGTATACTTCTCAGTAGCTGACACATTATTGTCGGTCCGTAGCCTAGAGGTAACGAGCTTGTCTCGTAATCTTACCGCGCGGGTTCGAATCCGCGTAGGGGTGGGCGTCCTCGCGGTATACTTGGCCCACGTGCAACTGGTGTTGGTCGCACGGCAGCGAAGCACCGTTACGGGGTATAGCTGGTACATTACTTATTATACTTCTCAGTAAATGGAGATACAGCCATTTTGATGACGAAGTCTGATCACTGTAAACATGATTTGGCCAAAATGGCTCGGAACAAATAACTTGTTTCCTCAGGGGAGCTAAACATGGTCGGTATGTGTCAGTCACCGTTGGCTAACTGCGCATAACAACTACAGGTAACTTCAAAAGTTTATTCCCATGCTCTGTCGATCACGAACACCAATGACGATTGCTGACCTCCTTTTTCCTTGGTACAGTCGCAGTCGACTGAAGCAGAAACGGTTCTTCGTCTTTTCGCCTATATTGGCAGAGTATTCCCGGAAGAATTGTCTTTAGGCAACGTAATTAACGAGAAAACCTGGTAAAGTTCCATAATTTGGTCGAAGGAGTCTTATATGGTAGAAACATACTGAATACTGAAATTGGAGGGCGAGACGATATAAATCTGTGTTGCTGCGTTGTAATTAGACCGGGCATCTGCACGGAATCACGTCGCTGGTGCTGCGCAGTGGCAGCATATTACAGCTGCACTACATCTTATCCGGACACGATACGCTCCCTATACCTGCACTCCACAAAATCGGCGTCGAGCAATCTCTTAACTTCCGACAATGATTTCACCCCGACTATTGTCTCCCAAAGGTGGTGGGGCTTGTTCAGGTTGGATTTACAAACCAACTTTCTAACTGGGCGCAATAACATCAATTCAGCCGAGTAATAACATTTCCCCACCGCCTGGCAGAGGCGTTGCTGAAATCTTCCATCATTTTGTTCCAATTTAGACGACAGCGTAATGAATACCTTTTTCTTGGGGACACATCAAACGTTCCTTACTATTTTCTGCTCCCGCATGCCGAGCTATGAATCTTGCGGGGTATCCGTTTTCCTGTAGTGCTAATGACACGCGTTTTAGTCCACTGTCGAGCGTATCTTCAGAACAACTTTTGCGAGCTCTGTATTCGATTACGGCTGAGGATGGTGTTAGAGAATTCCCCATGAGATTTATCTTGCCGATACTATGTTCCATCGCCGAGAATTGTAATACCAGCTTTTTCTTTTCAGTGTTGAATAACAGCAAAATATGCGCTAAATGCTACACCCATAGCCTTCAGGGAATCTATACATTCGCTTTCGCGCGTCACGATATGGGAAGAGAGTTATGTTACCTCCTTTTTCGCAAGAGTGCTCACAGCTTTTGAATTGGATTACTGCTACAGGCACTTCGTTTTTTCCTGCCTGAGTCAGGTGTGAATTATCATAGCCACTTCGACCGCTAAGCTTTGAAGTCTCAGTAGTACGCTGAAATCGCAGGTTGCTTCATATGTTCGAGTTGAAATCTGTACTTTCCAACTTTTTACTATTAACAACGTACTTTCAGATGGGTCTGTTTAATTCACGTTACTATGGAAGCCATCAAAAACTCTGTGGATGTTATATGAAAAAGGGTCCCAATTTTGCGATCTAAGCAGAGAGATTCCCCAGTTGTCTTTTCGCAGGATGTGTGTGATCATCACACGCACACGCGATGGTATGGTGACGATTTTTCAGGTAGATGTTTTGTGATCATATCCAAGGAACCCGTTTAATAGTTAATTTTTATCGAGAACGTGCCTGAGGTAAAGACAAGATCTAGTATATTTTTTTCTCTGGTCAGAGAGGTTATAAATTCAGCATGCTTCGCATTTGTTGCCAAGGTGGGCTGACAGGTATCGGGTTGTTCGAAATCTTCGCTAATGACTTTATTGAATGAAATGCGTTCTGATACATAATTGGATAAAAATTGACTGGTTTTTTCTAGTAGGCTGGGTCCACGTTGCACTGAGAAATAAGATTAACCAATCAGCATCTTTGGAGGGGCATATACATGGAGGTATGAATCCAGAAATAAACAAGTTTTTGGAAGTACTAATGCAACCACCCTCTGCCTCGCTTTCGGGTACTTCTAATAAGCTTGTAACTGCCTATGAAAAGCATTTGGTTTGATAAAGAATTATGGCAGCGTTAGTAAAATTAGATCCTGTATGTTTAGGTATATGAGAGTTTGTTCCTTTGAATAGAATGTGTTAATTCCGTATGTTCAATCACAGAGTGCACAATACGTCTTGCTTCTGCTTTTCTGACGATTTTTCTGGTCGTGAATTGCAACCAGTCCTCTTACGAGTAACTGTCTTCTCACAAAACTGGGTCCCGGGTGCAGTTCAGTTCAGTTAGACATGTATGATTCGAGCACCGATGTATGGTGGATTCAGTTGCCACGACCCGAGACGTCAGGATAACAACAAAAACTGGGTGAAAATGCGGTCAAACACATACAGAATACAATGATTATAGGATCGCGATGGGGTCCCCACTCGGACCAATGCTGACGGATTTGTTTCTTGTTAAACTAGATACTGAATCATTGAGTCCGTTACTATCGGGATGTGGACGGCGTCTTTTGTGTGGCCAATAAGGATATGAGTCTGGAGGCTATAATGATGGTGTTTAATAGTGCGCACCGGGCACTTAAGTTCGCACACGAACTTGAACAAGAGGGACAACTTTCACTTCTATTAAAGAAGATCAACAGAATATAGACGTGGACCGGTCACTATACGAACTTCAGTAATTTTGTGCCTCTTAATATAAGCGCATCCTAGTCCACTGTCTCACCACAAGGACAAGAAAGATATGCACTGAAAGATGGGATGAAATTCATCCAGAACACGTTGCACGAAAATGGTTATCCGGAAAGATTCATTCAGTGTAACATGCAGATCAAGACAATACCTAACGTTGTGGAAGCAGTCGAAAGAAAAGCTCTCTTCATCCGCCTTGGTTTCAGAGGTGACACAGTTGCTATGCTTATAACAAGAAAATTGATACGATCAAAAAGGAACACCTTTCCGGCTGCGAATTACGATGTATCTTCGTCACGAACTAGCTAATTCCTCTGCGCAACAATGATAGACCGCCGAAACTGACATATTCTTACGTAATCTCTCCATTTGAATACATCTGTAATGCAACATATATTGGTCGAACGTCTCGCCAATTGTCATGTCGCATTAAGGAAGATAGCCCTAAATTATTGGCGAGCGGAGACAATGCAGTTCTGACAAGCGGAACTTTATCCAACCTGTTCGAATCAGGCCACCGCGTTAACTTTCCGAATACGTTTACTGTGACATATCAGGTTCTCATAAGCTAAGAATGCTCGCCACTGCAGAGACTGTTGCGATCCGAATATTCCAACTTTCGCTATGCTCGTAAAAGCGCATTGTTCAGTCTCTATCTGCCCTGCCCGAACGGCCATCAATCCAGCCGTCATCCTGACATCGGCTCAGGCATTGTGCTTGCGTAGACTTCAATCTACCTGTGTGAAGGAGACAGCGGCGAACTATTCGCTATCTCACCATTGACCTACTTAGTTCGGAACAAACCTCTGAACCAATCACTATCCCTCACCTTGTATTTTAACCTTATATGATTTGTACCGGCACCTTGATGAATCATTGAAACCAATTGATTGCCTCAGACTAGTGTTCTTGATGAATCGCTGAGATAAGCAATCGCATACGGATCAGTAAATACAGACTGCCGTTGCGCGTTTCATCTTTGATGCGGGGCCCTCTAACGATTGTCACTGCGGCACATTGTACATTACAGTGCATTTGCCATTGATCATCTCATCATACAGGCCGATGATGCCTTACACGCTGTAGCAGTTAACGGGTAATTCGCCCACGCACCCGATGGGCTGCTCGCATTGTCCAATGATAGCACGCGAAGGAACACCACGTACGTAGAATGCTTCCCATAGTCGAGCAACTGTGTTTTCTTAGCAAACGCAGTGGTAACCATGAAACAACCACTTGAAATACTCCCCAGGAACAGACTCAACCGAACAAAGGCGCAATAAGGGCAGTAGGCAAATGTAACCTCGGGCG